ACTGATCATGACCAATCACCATACCAAGTTTGAAGTTCCTAGGCCTTAAAGATCTCTAGTTATTGATCGGAAACCGTTTTTGCTTACAAGGTCAATGTGACCTTGACCTTTGACCCCTTGACCCCAAAATCAATAGGGATCATCTACTGATCATGACCAATCACCATATCAAGTTTGAAGTTCCTAGGCCTTAAGGTTCTTTAGTTATTGATAGGAAACCGTTTTTGCTTACAAGGTCAATGTGACCTTGCCCTTTGACCCCTTGACACCAAAATCAATAGGGATCATCTACTGATCATGACTAATCACCATATCAAGTTTGAAGTTCCTAGGCCTTAAGGTTCTTTAGTTATTGATCGGAAACCGTTTTTGCTTACAAGGTCAATGTGACCTTGACCTTTGACCCCTTGACCCCAAAATCAATAGGGGTCATCTACTGGTCATGACCAATCACCATACCAAGTTTGAAGTTCCTAGGCCTAAGGGTTCTTTAGTTATCACTCGGAAACCATTTGGTCTACGGACCGACAAGTGCAAAGCAATATACCCCCTTTTCTTCGAAGGGGCATAATAAATAATTATGAGAATCCTCGCCCTAATATCTAACATATGAACAAAATATTTTTATCTAAGAAAAACTGAACACAATGTATAAATAAAATTTATGTGAAATCCTGAACATATATACAACAAACTCTATAAATAAATGTAAAAGATAAATTCTGTAAATAAGTAATGATCATGTCTTATTAAAGCTTAATTTATTTATTATATATATATTGCTTTTCAAATAAAAAATCAATGGTATATGTTTACATATTGAACTTCTCGTAATCACAAAGTTAATGACAGAGAAGGGAAATTAAGCTAAATGTATTCACTTTTTTATGGCTTGCTCTCTTCTCCTCCCCTGATGCCCTTTCCAATTTTTTCTCCACCCCATGCAATTCCCCCTTTTCTCCTACTTAACTATGCATCAATGCATATGTTTTAACCTATAAAATACCTGGGCACAACAGCAAAAACTGTACCATATTTTTGGTTCACAAAGTTGCCAATTTATGTTTTTGACATTTGACATTAGAGCCGGAATAGGGTTCCACTCACAAAGCCAAAATGTATCCCTTTTTTTCAAAATTATTGTTTTATAAAAGTTTACAAATGTCAAGTTGTAGTTATTGACAAAAATGTTATAAATGATAATACTTAAAATATATGAGAAACAGATTAAACATATGAGACTTTGTTAAATAAGATATTAATCATCAATCAATGCATTTTTTAAACATATGAAGACTATATTACATTCCATGTTTTTAAATTAAAACGGTATATTATTAATAAATCATTAATGGCAATGCTAATGGCAATGCTAATTTACACAATTCAAATTATTGACCTAAAACACTGACTGGAAGTTACACATTTAAATTGAAGGCAGTATAATTTTCAAGATAACAATTTTGTTGTAGTTCTGAGGTTAAAAAAAATATTATTTTTTTTACAAGAAGCTATTTCAGGATACAAATATAATTTCTAGATTCAAACGTTTTGTTTTAAGGTCTTCCTATCTATTAATGTTACATTGCAAATGGGAAAATAATTAGCTGCCCAGTTTTGTCTAAATTCCGGATAAATTTACAATACATTATCTTAAAATAAGACAAGTTTAGATAAATTTACTATACATTATCTTAAAATAAGACACGTTTGGGATAAATTTACTTTAGACAATATCTTAAAATAAGACAAGTTTGGAATATATTTACTTTACATTATCATAGAATTTTGTCAAATATGGGATAGATTTACAATACACTTAACAAATCTTATATTCTAGTGTGCAAGTAAAAATGGTCTTATAATCATATCAATATAGGCCAGACAGATCTGAAATTTTTAATATATTAAGCTCAGAGACATGATATTCTGTCCAACTTGTTTAATTATAATAGTAAATACATACTAGTGTACAGAAATCGCAGATATCTGGCACTAAGGACGTTTTACTATATCTGTCAAATCTCTCAGTAATTGTTTAGTGTAAGTATTTTTAAGGGAAATAGATATTTGAAACAGGGCTCCAGCTAGGTTCAAAATTTAGGGAGAAGTCACTTCTCCCTCCAGCTGCTTTAGGGAGACTTTTGGGAGAAGTAAGGAGATTCATTTATCGATGTTTGTTGTATGTTATCACAATTATGTTGACTCACTGTACATATCTTATTAAATGAATTGCATTTGTGTTACAACAGAATATTCAATTTTAATTTAAAAGTAGTTTGAAACAAGTAATAAGAATGAGTATCATGTAATGCAACCATTGCATTAAATGAAGATAAAAAAGCCATAGTTGATTCCTATCATGGATCATATCATGGGTGGATTAACAGTTCCCTTCTGATTTACTATTAAAAAGCTTGCGCCGGACATTATATTCATATTCACTTATGTTGTAAAGATAATGAAAGTAGATAACAAAAGAAACGATCTTTAATTTAACTTTATTTGTAATAAATACAGTGTAATACGCCGTCAATTTTATCAAATTTAACTCGTCGACAAAAAAGGTTATCATAACTTTCATTTAAAATTACCGTTACAGTTATATGTTGAGCGGTCCTCTTAATTCCGACAATCATTCGATAGTGAAAATTTAATTGACGTTTGATCGGTCCATCATAAATAATTGTTACGGGTAGTTGTATGATTTAATGATTGGTTTAATAATGTTGCCTCGATTAAAACGTGAATTACGATTGGTTTATCGCACGTATCGGTAATCTCGCCGTGGGCGGAGTATTATTGTTCCTCGAGTGTCTGTTAATTAGACTTTTATGACATGTTGGTAAACAAACGGATTAATGACATTTCGCGTTGATTGAGATGCATGACAGTCCCTTTTTCCGGCGGCGAGGGTAAACAAAGCAAACACACACAACATGTTATTCACAGTTATTGTTATTGTTGGTAATTTTCAATAATGGATCAATAAAATCGGGCGACTTCATCTTGGCTTTCATGTAGGATGTCGGCGAAGTCAGACGGAATTCGGTGACAATTTCGCCCGAATCGCCCACTAGCTCGAACCCTGTGAAATATGTTTGGTTATGTCCTTGTAAGAGTTGGATCGTAATGATAGTAGCATTTTGATTTTCATGTATACAGAATCTCAGATATCTGGTACTGAAATGTGCTATTGTTTCAGTAAGACCTCTCGGGCAAACGGTTTATTAGAAATATTATGGTTGAAGTTAAAGCTTATAAATACTAGTACTCAGAAATCTCAGATGATCTGGTACTAAGGATGCTATATTTAGAAGACAAAGGAACAATGAGAAACTATTTTTATTATTTTTTGAAGTACTGATATTTTTGGATAAGAGATTGTTGAAATGTAAAAGTAGGGGAATGAAGGATAGGTTTAGCTTTCGACTGGTATTTGTTTGAGAATTGTTTTTGAGAAAATAAATTGTTTATTTTGGAATATACAGTTTTGAATGATTTAAGAAGTAGATTAAGATTGTTATTTTGCAATGAATGATTTTTGTTTAGTTATTTTCCAATCATAAGGATAAGTATCCCGAGAAAAATTACATGTATTTGCATTTAAGAATGTCAAGATTATTTGAGAACATTGTGATTTTATTTTGTAGCTATAGATTAAATAATCAACAGCTCGGTACACGCTACATATGTATCTAGTATTAGAATTTATGCAGCATGTAATTAGTAAAAATTATTCATAAATACAAATATCCCCGCTACTGCAACCACTTCTAAGGTAGTGATCTCCCTTGACTTGGATAACCGACATTTTCCACCAGGACCATTTTGCATTCTTTTTGTGATATTAATGATGTAAATAAGCGTTGAATTAATTTGTTTTCCTTTCCTTTGTATTTTTGTATACATTCTTTGCTTTTAATTTTTAAAATACCGTTTAAAATAAGTTACTTTTTGAAATGGTATTTACTGGTAAATTATGAAACGGTTTTCGGTACGGTTAAATACTGGTTATCGGTATCGTACCCTAGTTGGCACATTCATCATGTTTTTGTTTTTTACGTTTAGAAAATATGTCATTCTTGCAGTGTTGGCAGGTACGCCATCTTACACTAAGTTACAGCAGTCACAGTAATATTCCTAATCATACGTCAGAAAACTAAACCTCTTGACAGTTTGAAATACTTGGTACATAACAGGTCAGATTACTGCTACTGAACACATTTTAAGCAAAACAATTTATCTGAACTTTCTGGTTGTGGTTCAGTACCAAATAACATACAAAGATTGTTCAAGATTAGAGCAAATTTACCCCAGTACAACATTATGTCACATCCATGCCATGATAAAAATGGCAATTAAAAAATAAAAATCATTTTATTTTGCAAGATAAAGTGTTGGGTGTCCTTTTTTTTGAACCTGTCCTACAGTCCACACCATTTCTGTTTACCCAATAGACAAGGGCCGATAGACACTGTTGTTTTCTCAGACTTTCGCAACCATTTTTGTTAGGTCAAGGATTAGGGGTTAAGGTAAGGATTTGTGTATAAAGCATCATGTGTTAGCATCAAGGGTTAGGGTAAGCATTTGCGCAAAAAAAGTTTTGGTTTTAACAAACTTAGACATTTGGTAGTGGCTAGACTTGGGTGTAGACTTTTTCTAACTTTGTCCAAAATAAATTTTAAGTATTTATTGTTTAAATAACCAGATTACCACAAGAAAACTTTTTTTAAGTTCTGTTCCATGTTTTCATTATAATTTAAAGAGACTATATTTGACATTTTTTTCCAAATAAACACAAATATCAAGTTACAAATTTTCATTTCTGTGTACATTGAAATTGGGCCGAACATGTGCGAGTACGAAACTTGGTGAGAAATTAGCATTCTTGCGCAGATAAAAACCAATTATCATGAGCAATCGACCAAAAAATAAGAATCAATTTTGATAAATACCTTTGCTTAATAAAATAAAAGTTTAAATTTAACATATATTACCTCCAAAATAGCTTGATCTTCCGAGCTGCATACGGCTGTCAAATTGTTTCGTCCCAGTTTGTTGGCAAGTTTTTATCTCGCGAGATTTTACGGTACTTTCATTTTCAACACTTTGCTCC